GGGGAAGGCCCGTCCCGGCCTCCTTCCCCTCTTTCGGGGGTCTCCGGCCAACCGGTCTGGGCTGCAAAGGTCACCCCCCCCCCCTCGGCCGGATGGATTCCCCGCTGGGCTCACCAGTTGCAAGGAGCAGAAGCCGACCAGCGTGCAGCGCCCGTTGCATCTGCCCATGGTCGCCGGGTGGCCGAAAGCCTCCTTCTCGCCGTTACCGTCAGGAAGAGCGCCGCGCCTCCCGTTGCTAGTGACAACCCCCGGCTCGGAGGGCATCCAGAGGCGGCAGAGGCGGAGGCTGCAGCAGCGGCACCGGCCGGCTCCTGTGTGCCATCGCTGCCCGGCGAGAAAGAGGCGCCTCGTCCGTCTCCCCGCGCGCTGCCTTTTGTCTCCTGTCGCCGAGGAAAGAGAGAGAGAGAGAAAGGGAGAGAGGGAGAACGGAGCCGCCTCAAGGCGTTATCTGCTGCCCCCGCCGCGCCGCCCCTCAGCCCGCGGGAAGCAGCAGCCCCCTGGCTCCTTGGGAAGGTGCCTCGTTCGTTTCCGCCCGCGCTCAGCAGCAACCGGGCTCCGTCTCACACACACACACGCCCCCCCGGGCTGAGAGGGTCTACCGGTCGATGAGGGAAGCTAGCCCGGGCTTTGTCCCGCGCGTTACATGCGGAGGAGAAGCGCCACTCTCAAAGCCTCCGCTCTATTGTTTTCTCCGCCTCCTCCGCCGACACACCCACGGCTGCGCTGCTGCCGGGCGGGCGCGGAAGAGCGAGCCGGCGCTGGCTTGGGAAGGGCAAGCGTCACTCCACGAGACGGGAGGCAGCGCAACCAACCCCTTGACCGGAGGCAGAAGACGGTCGCGCGCGGGAGAGGAGGGCGAGTGGGAAACAGCCCCCTCCCCACACAGACACAGACACACACACACACACCACGTGGCTCTCCAGCTGCGCCCTGGGCGTGAGGGTGAGGCGTGTGTGGAGAGAGAGGGAGAGAGAGAGAGAGAGGCGAGAGCGCGAGCCCCTCCCCGCCTCTGCCTTCGGCTGTCCAGTCACGAAGACAGACGCCGCGGAGCGAGGGGCTGGGCCTCGACAGGCTACGCCTCCCCTTCTCGGACAGTTGTGGGTCCCTCAGGGCGCGAAGGCGGAGGCGGGGGAAGTTGGGAGGATGGAAGAATGGGGTGGTGGGGTCGCCGCGGCTCTTCTCGACACAAACGTGCAGCGGGGTCGAGGGCGCGTCTGGAACATGCCCTCCCGACGCGTTTGTTCTTTGGCAAGTCTGGCCATTTGGGCAGCTTGGATCCCTGTGGGGTGAACAGGGACTTCCAACCTTCAACTGGGAAGATGATGGGAAATACTCATTCACTCAAACCTTTTAGTACTAGGAACATAGTAAGGACCAAGCCCCCCCCAAAATGACTAACCAAACATAAGATACTCTGCGAGGTTGGTCATTAATGTTGAGTGTACGCCAACTTTTTTATTTATTTATTTATTTTGTCAAGCGATTATAAGATAATAGGTATAAGTAAAAACATAGTTATGAATACATGGATACATATAAGAAAAATAAAAAACAATAGGACAGGGACCGTAGGCACCTTGGTGTGCTTATGCACGCCCCTTGCAGACCTCTTAGGAAAGGGGTGAGGCCCTGAAAATACTGTTTTTCTGTTTGTTACTTACGTTTTTATTTGTATCCCATCTTTTAGTATGTTTACAAATAACTCGAAGCGGTGAGCATATCCACGGCATCTTCCCTCCTTCTGTTTTCCTCGCCATGGACCAGGTGAGGTGAGGTGAGCTGAGACTGTGACTGGCCCAAAGTCACTCAGGTTGGCTTTCAGGACTGGAACTCAATGGTCTCCCGGTTTCTAACCTGGTGCCCAGAGGTGGGTATTCAGCAGGTTCTGACCACTCCTGGAGAACTGATAGTGGAAATGTTGAGTAGTTCGGAGAACCAGCAAATCCCACCTCTGACTGGCCCTGCCCCCATTTATTCTCTGCCTCTCATTGAGTCCCAGCTGACCGGCTGGGTCTTCTTTGGTTGCCTTGCACAGGAGAACGGAGCTGGAAAGCAGGTTAGGGGGTGGGGGGGATTTTATAGTATCCTTCCCCTGCCACGCCCACTAAGCCATGCCCACCAAGTCACGCCCACAGAACCGGTAGTAAAAAAATTTGAATCCCACCACTGCTGTTGCCTTAATTAACCACTAGACCAAACTGGGTCTTGTTTTACTCTCCCCTCACCCTGCCTGCATGATGGAAAGGATGAGATCTACTTTGTATGTCAGCACTTTGTATTTCCAAACAGTATAAAACAGGGCAGGACCAAATCTGGTGTGGTGAAAAGTCAGCCAAAGAACCGTCCAATTCACAAATGGGCGGGATCCTTCCAAGACAGAGTTCCCCCAACGTTTCCAGCTTTGCAGACCGCCAACCCCTGGGGAAGGGGTGTTTGCGCAAGTGGCTGGCAAGCGTGTGTGTGTGCACAGCTCCGTTTCTGTGAGCAGTGTGCACGCAAATGGAACGTGTGTGCGTGTGCTTGCCTGCTGCTTGCCCAAGTGAGGATGTGCGCGTGTTGGCCGGTCATTTCCACAGCCCAGTTGCAAACCCCTCACGGCCCACCAGTGGGCCATGGTCCACAGATTGGGGACCCCTGTTCCAAGGGCTTCAGAGAAAAGCAGTCCAGAACAAATTCTTCCTTGCATTCCTATAGCAGAGGGGGTTGGGCAGTGGCTTCAAAGGCTGTTCTCACGTGACCTGGCGCAGATTGTATGGTGCTGCTCGTGCTACTATGTCATGCACATACAAGACACACTACACGTTACATCATTGCATCAAAGACAAAGAACATTCTACTGTTGTTTCAGTCACATGATGTTTTCTGGATTCTCAAGCTGTGGTTTGCTTGGCCCTGCTGGGTTTGCCCAGCGCCCTCAGCAATCTAAGCCGAACAAGCATCTTTTGACTGGGAAGGCATGTGAATGCTGCCGTTTTTAGTCTTGTTCAATGGGCAATTTGGAATCTCTCATAGAAGTAGGTATTGACTATGGCATAAATCAGGGTTTACCAGCCTGTTGACCTAGATGTTTTAGGGATTTTGTTGCTAGGTTCTAGCGTAGAAAAACATTCGTCTGGTGCTTTGCTCAAAACAATTGCAATTCAGGAGGCCAATTTGGTGTAGTAACTAAGGTACTGGCCTAGAGACCAGGAGATTGTGAATTGTAGTCCTGTTTTAGGCATGAAAGCCAGCTGGGCAACTTTGGGCCAGTCCTCTTTCAGCCCAATCCACCTCACAGGGATGTTGTTGTAGGAAAAATAAGAGAAGAGAGGAGGTATGTATGTTTACACCACAATGAGTTACTCATCTATATGTATAAAAGCAAAATACCACTCACGCATCATCACAAAATCTCCACAACCGTAAAGCCTACAAACTTGAAATTTGTCACGTATGTTCCTCTTGAATTCTAGGTGCTCACTAAGAAAGGATTTTTCGAAATGACCATCAGAGCATTAGTATTTCCTATATTATTATTAACACACTCTGAAGCTAAGGAATTCTACTCCCCCTTCCCACCTGAAAAGAAATCTCTTCCAAAAGCAAAACACAAGCAGAGGAGAGGAGTTTCAATTTCAGTTTCACAGCACCAAGCAGCTTTCATACAGAACAGTTGAGCTAAGCCACGCCCAGGCGCCTTGCTGTCTCCTTGCTCACATAGCAAATACTGTTTTATTTTCCAAATAGCCCTCAACACTCTCACACTGACAGGACGCTAGCCAGATGAATACTGATGGATGCTGGTAGGCAGAGGCAGAATTTCCCCCCCCCTTATTTTCCTCCCCCCAAAAACTAAGCCTGATCACATAGTTTTGTAACGAAGCATGGGTATAGAGCTAGTAAAGTAATAAAGGCAGGATAAAAATCTACTTAATAAATAAAAACCGCTTTCTCAGGATGGAAAGTCAAGACAGCTAAATAAACTACATGCAGAAACTGCATCTCCCTTGCAAATAAAGAGAAACATGTCAAAGACCTCCTGAAGTTAAACTTGTGAATGGGTGGGTGTGGAGAAATGAACCTCAGCATAACTTGCGTATCTCTTCAGGTCCTCCAGATGCATTAGCGTCATGTTTTCTTGTTCTGCACATCCAACATTGTATCCGAATGATCAAAGATAGGCAATCCCCAACCGTATGGGAGAGAGGCTCTGGCAGACATACCTGACTCCTGTCTTGCTCTGCCAGTAAAGGAAGTCAGGTAAAAGCTGGATATTATGCTGAGTGGTGATGTTTTCTTATGCAGAGCGGAGCTCCCTCATTAAGTTTTAATGGCCAGGCCGTTGATGGCGGTAATGGATGCATTGATGGAGAAAATAAACAGTTTGTGTTCCTAAGCACATGGAAAGCAACGGACAGCCACCTACCTTCCTGGAGTTGAAATTGGGTCACCCATTGCATGAATAAAATATTTTTGGAAATATTATAAAGGAAGAATATTATATTTCCCCAAAGGGAGAAATGGAGAAGCATGCTCTTAAAGACAGAAAGCAGCCCCTGGTCTTTCTGAATAGCCCACGGCAGATGCCAGCGCTGAAGGAGATAAAGAGCTTATTGAAAGAGGAAGCCAACTATCTAGATAGCACCATTCACAAGCAAAGCAAATATAGCAGGCAGAAAATTGATTCAAGACGGGATATTTCAAAACTCCTTGCAGCAAAGTTTGACTGCTAATGAAGGCAGAATGGTAGGATTTGGAAAGGAGCCCCTCACTCAAAATCCAGAACAGGATGAAAATTAGCCACAATAGGAATTGCCCAACACCCTTTCAGGGGACAATCCCCTTCATTGCACCACCCCCAGAACAGTTCAGGCTTCAAAGTCACAGAAACCTACAAAGATCCATCCACTCCTTCAACCATTTATTCAGCTGACCCAGGACTGCTGTTGGTTCTGTTCATCACTAAACTTTCTTTCTAATCAGCCTCTATGTTGTTTCCAGCGTCTTTCTCCCAGCTTGGACCTGACTCAGATGGATTTCCCCCCTCCCAACAGTTTTATTTCATGTAACCAAAGGCCAAATTTCAGGCCACTTCAGAAGCAGATAGGAAAATGTCAAGTGGCTTTTAGAAATCCATGCAAAAGTAGGTGCTATCTGTATATAAAAGAAGCCAAGGCAGCAGCTCTGACTACACAATCAAAGCCCTGCTGGTTTGCTCTTGTTTTTGTTTTGCGTGCATTGTCCACGCAGCACGCATTAAAGGGGGTAGGAGGACCTTGAGCTTGTCTGGAGGGAGAGAGAGGGAGGGAGGGGAGCAACTGTGGTACAACTTTGACGGAAGAGATGTACCTTCCTTCTATCTTGGACAGTGCAGAGCTTTGAGAGAGATGCACATGGAATAATAAGGTATTCTGACCAAGGCTTATTAAGACACTAACAAACACCTTAGTTCCAAAACCCTTTTTTCTTTATTTCAACGGCTGTGAATTATAGTCATTCACAGCCCGTAATGAGTCTCAACCAGTTTGTAAAGAGTCCCATGGAACTCTGCCAAATGTCCTTCAGGATAAGTCTGATAAACATGCACCTTTATCTTCCTTGAAATGCT